TTTAATTACATAATCGCGTAGGCAGATATGATAAATGAGCTATATCGCTTGAAATGACGAGCGTCGGTTGTGCGGTAAACAAATGGAATGGCGCTGTAAACAAAGGAAAGACTTGCCATCTGGGGACCACTTCCGTACTGTGTAGGTTAGATGAGTGTATTAAGTCCGTCGATTTCGGCTGCTGTATTCTTTTAAGTTTTTATGCGTTTTTGCCATGCAGGGCTGGAGCGCTGCAACAGGCAGCAGAAACGCATATTTGTGATGGCCCTGTTTGTCTGTCCGTGTGTATGTGTGTGTTTGTATGTTTGTGTTTGTTTGTATGTTTGTGTTTGTTTGTATGTATGTTGATGTTGAGATTTTGCTAGTGTGTTTCCCGGCAGTGCGATTCTAGGAATGTGATATCAGCTGTCACAGGCGTCTACGTCCCACGTATGGGCACAGGAAAGTTTTGGCGGGAAGATTGCTAATTCGGGAAAGAGAAGAGCTAGAAAATTGGAATTGTAAGGGAATGTTCTTACTCATATACAACTGAAAGGTTTGAAGATCAGCGCCTTAGAACCGTCCGAGTCATACGTACGGACACATGAATGTTTTGACGAGAAAATTGCTAATTCGGGAACGAGAAAAGCTAAAAGCCTGGAATTTTAAAGAAATGTTCCCCACTCATAACAGATTTCCAATTCAACTCCGTTTAACCGTCCGGGTCTTACGTAGAGATGCTTAAAACTTTGGCGGCAAAGCTGCTAACTTGTGGAAAAGAAAAACTGGAATTTTAAAGGAGTGTCCACTACTCACGTGCGACTAAAAGATTTCAAATTCAGCTCTTCTAGCGGGATCTTTTTTGCACGCCAGCACTTTTCGTTTGTTGAGTCACTGAAGCCGACATCGGCAACTGACATACCACGTGGCTGCAAATTAACTTCCTGAACTTCGAGCATGAGTGCGTCACAAATTCTAGCTACTGGGATTCCTTGCGATTTTGCTATAGCACGAAATAGTGCAAAAACGCATGATCGCACTGGCCCGCTTGATGCGTTCCAGTCTGGGTTGATTTTTTACACCCACCACGCTCCTTTATTCCTACCCTGCTCCTGCCTTGTCGAGCATGGTTGGGAGAGAGAAAAGAGTGGTATCTAGTTGTTTCTTAACGAACTACTAATTTCAACTATTCGCCGCAATTACTACAGTTATACGGTTTTTCCGGAATGTGGAAAAATTGAGCTTGTGAAATTTTATCTTGCCAGGTAGTCATTTAGAAATAATTTCAGTCTCGAAAATTCAAAAGCCCCCTTCGTATTCGCTTGTAACGAGAAGCGGAGGCACTCGGGAAGTAGCACGAATAGTACATGCCAACACCAACCCCTGCTGACAAGGCTGTCGATGGCTCTGTCGCGGAAAACTTGCGAAAAGTCGGCAAAAAAGCAGGCAGAAAAAGAAAGATAAAAACTGCCTGTGGCATGCAGGGAAGAACAAGGCGTATTCTGCCTTGAAAAGCAGATACACAGTAGACATGCTGCCAGACCGAACCTGGAAGACAAAAGTCGGTAGTGTAGTGGATAGCACGTCGTGTTCGGATGTGGAAGGGAGTGGTTTGATTCCTTCCCAGTCTATAGCAATTTCCAGCAAGGGTCTGTGCTCACGATAGGTTCCATTGCTTACAAGCAAACCAGCTGCACGGGATTTAAGCATCTAAATTCTGAGAATCGCGTTGTGTTTTATGTAAAATTGCATGTGTGATTCACGATTTCCAAACTGCTTTTGCACCAAATTCGTCGTCGAGTCGGTTCCTGAAAAAAACTATTCAGTTTGTGTCGTTTTCACGCCATCTTTTGGGTCCAGTTTATAGAGGGTGGTACAGATTTCTGCAGGTCGATTTTCGGTAAGGCAAGTTTTCAGTGAGCTCTGCTGGCGACTTCACTTTGCATAAATTATTGTTCACTCCACCTTCAATGATTGGCATGTTGCTTGGAGGTTCTGGCTTGCAGTGCGCGATGAAATAATTGGGGCCTCTCGAAGCAGTAACATCAGACAATTTGCATGGCAGATAAGTTAGGCTGGAAAGGTCATATTGGCGGCCAGTGGATGTGACGGGCGCTCTGTTCAGTCTTTTGCTTCACTTCCCTTTCCACAGCCAGAAGTGGGATTTGCGCTTTGGCCCATGCATTCTGAAGTGTACCCTAGCTAACGTGCCCTCTCATCGATTCCTGCTCATTCTATTAGCACAGTGGATGGGTTGGCTACTGGTCAGCTAAAGATAAAGAAGAGAAGGAACAAAATGGAAGACGAATGGATGGATTACTGAGTGGTGCAGTCGACCAGCACTGCATATGCTGTATGCTAGGATGAGGCGCAGAGTGTCGGCTCTTTAAGGGATGACGGTTGTTCGGTTGGATTGAGGGACGGTGCTTGCATTTGGTAGTAAAAAGAAATAAACAATGAGGCAGTATTTACTGTTGAGCCAAGTTCCTCGTCTCCCTTTTGCTGTGAGTGTTCCGATCGCTTCTGTTCAAATAGTTAAACGCATAAAGCGTTTCTTAACATATTAAGAGGTAAAGACGATATTGTAAATTTCATATAATAATGAAATGGTATTATAGTCGAAAAAAAGGCGTAAAAACACAGAAGCAATGTAGAGATCTCGAGCCAGATGTTTGGTTACAAAAAATGTTCGCGAAACAAAAAGGATTAGAAGGCTGTGAGAAAAAAAAAGCACCGATTCATGGCGAGGAGCGAAAAAGAGAAAGACAGGAACAGCATAAAAAGCCCATGGTAGATGATGTGGAGATGGAGGAAAAGCAGAAAAAGTAAGAAAATCATTTAACAGATGTGAAGAATGAAGAAAAAAGATTCTTTTGACCACTTCCTGCGCTGTTTTGTTAGATCTTGATAATGCGAGAAGGCGGAGAGAGAGGAAAGGAGGGAAGGGGGAAGGGTGCGGAAAGGAGTCTTGGCTTACTGCTGCGATTAGCGTTGCAGAATTGCATGCATGGGCTGTTTCAGTATTTTCAAAAGCATTTTTTCAGCGGTTATCGGCGGTACAGTGGTTGCCGTCTTGGCAGCGATCTTGCTGGTGATGTTTGTTGTCTATCGAATGCGGAAGAAAGACGAAGGCAGCTATGCTCTGGATGAGCCCAAGCAACCGCCTCACTACTCTTACGCATATCAAAAAGCGCCAACGAAAGAATTTTATGCTTAAAATAGGAAAGCAAGTTGTTATTATTGTTATATATTTCTAGCAGCTCTCAAAATGAAGATTCTCTTCATTTGCGTAACTAATAGTCCGTCCGGGTCCGATGTTCTTCTTCGGTCAACCATTTTCCGTGGGCTCACTCTTCGATCAGGCCCTGGTACCATTCAAAATTTGTTCCCAGCAATTGAAACTGAAAAAAAACAGTCGAATAGAAAACAGTAATTGCTTTCAGTTTCATTTAAACAGATGCGCTTAAACTTTTCACATTTTAGAGGTGCCTCACAGCTTTATTTTTGTATTGAAAACTGATTTATCGGGGAAAATAAAAATGATTTCTACGAAGTTCTGAATTGAGAGAGGAGTGAAAGAGAGGAATTGGTAAAAGGAATAAGCGGGAAATTATTTATCCGTTTTTAGCACTTACAAT